ACAAAAATACAAAGAAGTGAATAAAAACCTTCATCATTAACTTATAGATGATATAAATGATAACGAGCAGAATGAGAATAAAAACAATAAATAAATAAAACCACAAACTCATAAACAACACGCGAAGCAGCAGACGGGACAAAATAAAATAAAATGTGATTTAATTAGTAAAAAAATAAAATAATGAATTCAATATTAAGATAAACTAAAATGACAAAAAGCAAAATGAATTCACGATGAAGCTGCAGGTGAACAGATGACGGCCAACATGGAAATGAAGTCATGAAACTGGAAGAAGAAAAAAATTAAAAAGACGTTTTGATCAAATCCAGTAAAAACACAGAAAAATAAAAAATAAATGAAATCTTTCTGTTTTTTCAGGTCAAACTCTGAGTGAATCTGTTTCAGGACGTCTCAGTCGAAGGACTTTATTTCTCCTAAATCAGCTTCTGTTTCTGAACGTTGCACTTTTCCCAACAACAAACATTCCAGCAACGCTCTGAGAACCTGAATCAGCTTCACGTTGCAGCAACACTTTGTTTTAATCTTAAATCTCAGCGAGATTTCAAGTTCAGTTTAGAATTCAGTGATCCGGTTGTTCTCGTCACCACTTTGCATCTTTCTGCTGATTTTAAATCTTTCTGCTGATTTTAAGATCATCTGAAATCTTTCTCGGTTGATTTTTGCCTCCTTCGGTCTGATTCTGAGTCTTTGTGGTTCTTTCACATGTTTTTGTTCTGAATTTGTCATTTTTTGCCAATTTTGCTTCATCTTGTGGTAATTTGGCCTCTTTGTCTGATGATTTCACATCATTGTCTGATGATTTCACATCACTGTCTGATGATTTCACATCATTGTGTGATGATTTCACATCACTGTCTGATGATTTTGCTTCATCTTGTGGTAGTTTAGAACAGAACAGAACAGAATGCCTTTATTGTCAGTGTACAGTGAGATGAAGAGCAGCTCCTTCAGTGCAACATAGAATAATAATAATAAAACAGTAGAGATTTAAATCTAAGATAAGTTAT